TGTCAGTATGAGAACACTACTTAAGACTCATTAGCTTTATACTCTTTTTCAGGTTATACAAACAGCCAGATCTCAAACAAAGATAAGAGTTTTGAAAACACACAAAACCAGGAACCACAACGGGTATGTAATTTTAACACCTTGGTAACAGTTGGCTGTCACTTTCCTCTTTTGCTTTTACATCTACTTAGATGCCAAAGAGAGTCCACTAAATTTAATAAAATGCCCAAAGAGTTCATTGATATAAAATGTGAGACTTAAGTGAGGCAGATTATTAACACAGCAGAATTACGTCACTGGTGTCAAGGAAAGGGGCTAACACTTCCTCGCATGCATTTAGGGTGGGTGAGACAAGATCTCAATCTGTGTGTACGACACCACCTCCACTGTCAATCACTCCATGATAAACCAATATGCTCAACAGTACTTCCTATTATTCTCAACACACAGTATTAGGTGGGATGGAAGATTTGTGTGACGAAGGCAATCAGAGAACAAGTGAAGGATTCAAATTATGGTAGATTTTACTTACAGCATTTAATAGTAATAGTAATAGTAATAGTAATACAATGGCACCTAAATTACCAATGTGAAAATTATACAGTGAGCCTAGGCTTTCAACCAGGTAAATGAATTAAATTATAGGCCACGTCGACTACCTGGAAGTTAAATCATCTTGAAAATATTTTTAACAGCCCAAACAAATAATTCTGATTAAAGATCCAAGCACTGAACTAACCACTCCAAACAAAATAGTTTTTAAAATGTTATAAAAATGGGGGCACCTGGGTGGCTCAGTGGGTTAAAGCCGCTGCCTTCGGCTCAGGTCATGATCCCAGGGTCCTGGGATCGAGCCCCGCATCGGGCTCTTTGCTCGGCAGGGCACCTGCTTCCCTTCCTCTCTCTCTCTGCCTGCCTCTCTGCCTACTTGTGATCTCTGTCTGTCAAATAAATAAATAAAATCTTAAAAATAAAAAAAAAATGTTATAAAAATGGTTATCTTCTCAGGCAGAATTACAAAACTGTTAAACAATTCTATTTCTTTCAATGAGCTAAATATGCTCCATGTACACCCAAAAATGTAGTAAACTCAGTTGGGTAGTAGGAGCCTCTTGCTCAAAACAGTTACTCAGGGACACACAGGTCACAGGGAGAGGACGATGGACCAGTTTTAAATGCAAACAGTAATATAAAGAAAACTACCCAAAAAAATCCCAGGGCCAAATGATTTCAACCAAACCTTTAGAGAATTAATACCAACTCTTCACAAACTCTTCTAAAATAGAGGAAAACACCTACCAACTCCATTGAATGAGGCCACATATTACCCGGATATCAAAATGAGACAGAGACACATATAAGAAAACTATAGATCAGTATCAGATGCAAAAATCACAACAAATACTATCAAACCAGGGCACCTGGGTGGCCCAGTGGGTTAAAGCCTCTGCCTTCGGCTCAGGTCATGATCCCAGGGTCCTGGGATGGAGCCCCCCATCGGGCTCTCTGCTCAGCGGTGAGCCTGCTTCCTCCTCTCTCTCTGCCTGCCTCTCTGCTTACTTGTGATCTCTGTCTGTCAAATAAATAAATAAAATCTTAAAAAAAAATACTATCAAACCAAATCCAACAATACATTAAAAAAATCATTCACCACAATTAAGTGATGGATTTATTCCCAGATGCAAGGGTGGTTCAACATTCACAATCAATCAACATGATACATCACATCAATAATAGAAAGGATAAAAGCCGTATGACCATCTCAATAGATGCAGAAAAAGTATTTAACAAAGCACAACATCCAGTCATAATAAAAGTCCTTAATAAGGTAGGTTTAGAAGGAATATACCTCAACATAATAAAGGCCATAAATGAAAACCTACAGATATCATTATATTCATAAGGGAAGAACTGAGAGCTTCTCCCCTAAGGTCAGGAGCAAGACAAGGATGTCCACTCTCACCACTTTCATTCAATATAGTACTGGAAATTGTAGCTACAGCAATTAGACAACAGAAAGAAAAAAGGCATCTGTAAGGAAATAGTAAAACTTTCACTATTTGTAGATGACATAATACTATATATGGAAAACCCTAAAGACAACACGAAAAAACTACAAGGACTGATATATGAATTCAGTCAAGTCACAGGATACAAAGTTAATGTGTAGAAATCTGTTGTGTTTCCATATGCTGATAATGAAGCAGGAAAAAGAAAAATTATGAAAACAACCCCATGTACAACTGCACCAAAAATAATACGATACCAAGGAATAAACCTAACCAAAGAGGTGAAAGACCTATACCCTGAAAATTACAAAACACTGATGAACACTGATAAATTGAAGATGACACCAAGAAATGGAAAGACACTCCATGCTCATGGACTGGAATAACAAACACTGCTAAAATGTCTATAATACCCAAAGCAATCTATGCATTTAATGCATCTATCAAAATACCTATTAAAATACCAATAGCATTTTTCACAGAACTAGAACAAAAAAAATCCTAAAATTTATATGGAGCCACAAAAGACTCTGCATAGCCAAAGAAATTTTGAAAAAGAAAAACAAAACTGGGGGTATCACAAGTCCAGACTTCAAATTATATTACAAAACTGTAGTAATCAAAACAGTATGATACTGGCACAAAAACAGACACATAGATGGAATGGAATAGAAATCAATGGAATAGAACAGAAAACCCAGAAATAAACCCATGGCTACATGATCAATTAATTTTCAACAAAATAGGAAAGAATATCCAATGGGAAAAAGACAGTATCTTCAACAAATGGTATTAGGAAAACCGGACAGCCACATGCAAAAGAATAAAACTGGATTACCTTCTTTCACCATACACAAAAATATATTCAAAATGGATTAAAGACCTAAATGTGAGAACTGAAACCATAAAAATCCTAGAAGAGAGAGCACAGGCAGTAATTTCTCTGACATCGGCCATAGCACCATTTTTCTAGATATGTTTCCTGAGGCAAAGGAAACAAAAGCAAAATTAAATTAATGGCTCTACATCAAAATAAAAAACTTTGGCACAGCAAAGGAAACAATCAGCAAAACCAAAAAGCAACCTACAGAATGGGAGAAGATATTTGTAAATGACATATCTGATAAAGGATCAGAGTGTGTGTGTGTGTGGGGGGGGTTATATATATAAATACAAATGTACATTCTTTATATCTCATATATATATTACATATAAAGATCATACACAACTCAACACCCAAAAAGCAAATAATCCAATTAACAATAGGCAGAAGACATGAACAGACATTCCTCGAAATAAGACATCCAGATGGCCAATAGACACATGAAGAGAAGCTCCAACATTACTCATTATCAGGGAAATGCAAATCAAAACTACAATGAGATGTCACCTCACATCTGTCTGAATGGCTAAAATCAACAACACAAGAAACAACAGGTGTTGACAAGGATGTGGAGAAAAAGGAACTCTCGTGCCCTGTTGGTGGGAATGCAAACTGGTGTAGCCACTGTGAAAACAGTATGGAGGTCCCTTAAAAAGTTAAAAATAGAACAACCCCATGATCCAGCAATCACACTACTGAGTATCTACCAAACAAAAAACAGAAAACCAAAAACCAAAAACCAAAACACTAATTCAAAGGGATACATACATCCCTATGTTTATAGCAGCATTACTTAAAATAGCCAAATCACAGAAGCAGTCCAAATGTTGCGTGCGCGCGCACACACACACACACATATATATCTCCACACTGGAATATTATTCAGTCATAAAAAAGGATGAAATCTTGCCATTTGCAATGACATGGATGGAGGTAGAGTGTAATGCTGAGTGAAAGAAGTCAGAGAAAAACAAATACGATCTGATTTCACTCATGTGGAATTTAGGAAACCAAAAAAACAACAAAACAAAACAAAAAAAAAACCCACAAAACACGAGCAAAGGAAAAAAAAAGAGAGAGAGAGAGAGAGAAACCAAGAAGTAGACTCTAAACTATACAGAACAAACTGATGGTTATCAGAGGGGAGGGGGTAAAGGGGCTGGGTGAACTAGGTGATGGAGATAAAGGAGGGCACTTGTCGTGATGAGCACTGGGTGATGTGTAGAAGTGTGGAACCACTATATAGTATACCTGAAACTAATACAACATTGCACATTAACTACACAGGAATTCAAAATAAAATTGTAAAAAGTTACAACAAACTTCAAAGTGGTTAAATTTTAAATACCTTTGCTAGGTATGTTGGGATGTCTGACAAAAAGTATTATTATTTTTTAATTTTTTTTAAAGATAAAAGTATTATTTATTATTACTACTTTTATCAGGGTTAGAACAACTCAAGAGTGGAATAATAACAGAGTTCTAACTTTAATTCTCAAATCATTTAGAACATGCCCTGACTTTGAAAATTCAAATATATAGTTGAGATAATAAAAAACACTCAACTCAGGTTTACTTATGGGATTTCTATAAACTTCACTATATTTTCATCACCATCTGTTTTACCATTTTTAAGAAAGCTAAGTTTAAGACTCCACAATAGGATGTTTCCAAATTGTGTAAGAGCATTCACAGTGGCTCCTAAGACCTTGAATCAAGAAAATTATCCATTTCTGATTAAAATCTAAAACTCGCTATGATTCATAATGCTTAAAATACAAAGTAGCATCTCTCTTTGAAACCTTGGTTCCAACTTGCAATGCATAGTGGTAGTTGTCCTTATTCTGACAGAAAACTGACACAGAGCTAGAGGAACCTGGGGTAGCACAGTCGGTTAGGACAAAACTCTTGGTTTTGTCTCAGGTCATGATCTCAAGGTCATGAGATCCAGCCCTGCCTCAGGCTCCAAGCCCAGCACAGAGTCCGCTTAAACTTTCCCTCACCCTCTGCCCCTCCCCTCTAGCATGCTCTCTCCGCTCGTTCTAAAATAAATAAATCATAAAGAAACTCTACACCAATTACTTTCCCAACAGAGTAACTGCACTTACGTCAATGTCCTCTTGTGTGAAAGTTTCTGGATCTTCTCCCATCATGTTGGCTAAATGTCTCTTTCCTATGTTGAACTCTTCAATTTGCTTTTTAATAAAATCCACTGTGTAAGTTTCACGTCTTAAGGCTGCAACATTTTTCTTTGTTGTTACACCTGTGGTGTGCCTTAGCCTTAATATCTAGCAAAAAATATAAACAAAAAGAGAAAAGATTTCAAATTAAAGAATTATCTTTAGGCCACCAACTCTAAATAAAACAGGATGTTCAAACAGTTCTCTTTATTTTATTACTCAGTTGGCAAGAGTCTGGAAAGAGGTAAAAAGAATTGTTAAGAAAGCCATTGGAAATTGTACTCCACTCAAAAGCTTGCTTTTAAAAGCCTCTGCTTACAGTTTAAACTACTGGCATTTCAACACATTAAAACCCCGCAAGCCCCAAATACATAAGTGATATGCTACCTCCTTATCTACTACAAACATCCACATTTGATACCACTTGGCCAATGTCAACCAGTTGTGATATTTGACACACAGGCAATGAAAAGTAAAATGACACTCCCTCAAAAAGAGGCAAATGCACGTGTAGACAGAACCGAGCAGGCAGAAGACAAGAGAAGGAAGAAGCATGTACTGGGGGACAGCACACTTTGGCTATTGGTAGTCACCTTGTTGTAAAGTACAAACACAGCCCATCTTTCTGGGCCTTAAAATAATAGTTTAGAGGGTTGATGGGGGGAGGGGGGTTGGGAGAGGGGGGATGGGATTATGGACATTGGGGAGGGTATGTGCTATGGTGAGTGCTGTGAAGTGTGTAAACCTGGCGATTCACAGACCTGTACCCCTGGGGATAAAAATATATGTTTATAAAAATAAAATTAAAAAAAAAATAGTTTAGCTTAGCTTGAGACTATTCTGTGGTCCTTTAAGTTGATACAGCGAAGAAACCGCTTCACTAAGCACTGACAAGATTTATCAATAACTTGGTTCAATACACTAACTTACAGAAATAAGGGCTTCCCCATCCTTTTAAACTATCAGTAATGATATCACAATTGCTGCTGTTGATCCTTTTATGCTGTAGCACTAGGAATTTCCCCTCAAGGCATTAATAGTTCACCTACAATAAAGGGTGCTAAAGAACCAGAAAAATGTTTTCAAATGACTGTGCAGCCACATTCGGTGGCTGGATAGAACTAGAACAGATATTTCTGGTCCTGGCTTTCCTCAAAATCTTAATCTGTGGTTCTCTACTTTCATCCCAGCCTCAACAATTTTAAACACTCTTAAGCAATTCAGACCTTAAGAACTATAATTCTTAGTAACTCCTTCACTTTCCTTTTTATTAACATAAATTTTCTCTGGCACATACCATCACCAACACCATCCCTGCCTCATCCATTCCCTGACCCTTTGAGAACCAGAGATTTAAGTAACTAATAATTTGTCACCACAGTAACAATAAAAAGCAGAAGAAAAAAATACAGGATAAATATTATAATAACCTATTAATAGTAAAAATTATGTTCTTAAATGCTCACAAATCAAAACAGTGATAAAATGATTTGTTACTCTTAAATAAGATAGGGCCATTTAAAATTCCATGAAACCATATAGTTTATTTTTCCTTAGGGGAGCACAAAGAACTTTCTCTATATTATTAATCAAGAATCTTTTTTTTAAGATTTTATTTATTTATTTGAGAGACGGAGAGGGAGCACGAGCAGGAGGAGGGTCAGAGGAAGAAGCAGGCTCCCCGCTGAGCAAGAAGCCTGATGTAGGACTTGATTCCAGGACCCTGGGATGATAACCTCAACTAAAGGCAGATGCTTAACTGACTGAGCCATCCAGGCATTCCATTAATTGAGAATCTTAAGATGCTTTATAAATATACAGTGTCACTATCAATTAGTAAAACACAACCCAAACTTGCTTACGTACAGTGAGCCTGCCCTATTACAGTGTCTTTGTACACCCCTGCTACCTTTCCCCACTGCCAGTGCCAACAGCACCAAATCCTCATTATGAGTTTTGCCATCTTACTATATTTTTACTTTTTCCAGGTATGCTTCTATTTTTTTTTTTTTAATGATTTCGTGTTTTCTTTGAACATGGGAAGATGTTGCTTCCCGTGTTCAAAGTGAAGAGAAAATGCCTGTCTGCCCCAAGAATCGTGGCAAAGCTGTGGATTTGGAGGAGAAAGCTGCTGTCACTCGGTGGAGGTGATTTTCCCCAATGTTCCCCTGCCAAAAGGATGATTATGAGGCTGGTTTTGTAAGTCATATGACACAAATGTTTTTGTCCACAACTAAAAGAATCCATTTGTAATACAGGTGAGCCTACTACACTTTTCACCAATCACCAACTACAGCCCTCAGGAGAAATGAGTCTCCCAGTGAATACCGGAGACTTCCCCTCACTGAAGTAATGAGCTCTAAAGGAAGAGTAAGATTAGGAGGAAAGTGATGAGTTCAATTTGGGAAATGAAAAGTTTGAGATGCTTGATGGGCATCTTGGGAGATATAGGTGTCCTCGAGGCAGATGGCTCTGTGGGTGTGTACACAGGAGAGATTGGAGCTGGAGATGCCGTCTTGTTAATAATCAGCATGGGACATGATGTGACACCATCTAAGTAGGGGAAATGGCAGGCATTAGTGTTAGAATAAGAAACATCTATTTTACTAGGCAAAGAAACAACACAGTTTGTGAGGGAAAGCATAAGATTACTTATGTATTATGGCCATTATTTTTATGAAACAGAACAAGAGATGGGTCTGCAGAGTTAAGTGGGGGGACAGGTTTGATGGACTGAATACTTCATATTCAAAGAGCGATGATACAATGGTTGTAAAGTAGACAGAATAATTAAAGGAAGAAAATAAGAAAAAAAATTTAAGCACCCCTTTATACTGGATGTGGGCCAGGAGAATAATACCAAAAAAAAGTTATGAATCTATATTCATACAATAGCTATAATATTTTATTAATTTTCTTCCTGTTTCCTATATATTTCCTTTGTATGTTTCAGTGGTACATTCAATGTACTAATTAGTTCAGAAGAGTTCTATCATAAGGCAAATTGTACCTTCAAACTATAAAGTGTTCCATTCTCAGGCAGTACTTTTACCTTGAATTTAATTGCTGAATCACAATACTGCAACCCTTTCAAACTTCTCTTTGCCTTTTCCTGGAATAGCACTGCCCATATTTTTCATTTAAATTTTGAATCACTTCAGGTTTTGAGTCAATCTGACTTTTTTAATACATGAGAATATCCTATTTAAATGGACTTAATAGATACTGTCTCATTTTTTCATCTTATTTTGTCTTTATTGTTTTTATGTTTTCATTCCTGTTTTCTTTCTTTTGCTAGATGGTCTATAGTTTTTTATATTTGTCTTTTGATCCAGCAATTTAAATACCAAACAGCCTACTTTGATTTTAATAATGATCACCTATATGTCTCTTAATAAAATGTTTAAATTATTTCTCCTATCAACTTCAGAAAGTAATACTCATTGAACTCTCACTTATTGTTTACTTCTTCGACCATAGAAATTATCTATTTTTCTGTCCTCCAACCATATCAGCTTCTCTCAGTCTTATTTCTCATCCCTTTGTTCTGCATCCTGTATGATTTCTAAACCTTTACTCCTTGGGTTTTTTGTTTTCTGCAGTGTTAATTCTGCAGTCACTCTGAATTTTTAGCTTCTTAAATCACTGGTCTATCTCCAAAAATCTTTCCTTAACCATTTCTTTAATTGTATCTTGTCTTAACAGCCTGTTTCATACGGCTCTCCCTCACCCAACCTTTTAAGAATGTCCCTGACAGTCAGCTATAGTAAAATAATTCTTCCATTTTGTTGAGTAAATTTCCTTTGTGTTTTCTTCATCTCTCTCTCCCACACTGTTCCTCTTCTTTTGTTCCAATAACACTTTAATATCACCTCAAGCAAGAGAGTTGATTATTGCCTTGAGGATTCATTTCTTCACTTGATTTAAAATTATCTTGTATCTATATTCTTCAGACTTTGTGACATGTGGTGGTTTTCTTAGTTTTAATATAAATGAGGCTTAAGAAACTGTAAATTTTTTTATTGTTGTTCACTTCAGAAAGAGGTGGGTTTTTTGTTTTTTTTTTTGTTTTTTTTTTTTTAAAAGCCCCCACTTTGCTATTTTTCATAAAATCTCTTTAGGATCTTTAGGATCTTTTCAAAGACATTTGTATACACTGCCGGAGAATATGACACTCTGGAAATTCCTATTTATTATAAAGCCATCACAGCATCAATGCCAGACTACTGAATAGATTTATAAATGTTCTAAATTATTCCAGCAATGATTCACACAAAAATATTTACATTCAAAAGAGTCCATTATTCATTAGTACAATCCATTAAGTAAGATGAGGCTGAATGTGAATCAACTAGATCTTTAGCTCAGAACAGCCACAATTCCTGGAGAGAACATGCTTTGCTGATTAAGTACAAATCCCCAACAAAATTTTCTACAGGTTCTACTTCCAACTGAAAAGCTATGACAGCGAATTTTTCTCACACTTTGTTTTTAGGGACTGGTATAGATACAACTTGACAGATTTGTTTCTTTTTTAAGATAATCAGTGGGTCAGACAACTATAATTTCAATCAAGCAGGTTGCCAAAGAAGCAGACACATCCTGACAGAGCAGTGATGTCCCAAATTTGGCCAAATGCCAGTGCCACACACTACTTTAATGATATTATGAGTATTAAGGAGTTTCCTTTTTGTTCAATTGGATAAAAATGGAACAAAGAAGAACTGCTGCTAATTTGAATAGAAATGGCAAAAGAAAAAATACTTTGAGGAATTAAAAAAAAAAGTAAAGACTAAAGTCAGATTAGAGAAAACATGGATAGAAACAATATAAGGACATCAAGAGAGAAAGGACAGTAACCTTTTTGAATGAGTTTATATTTTTATCAACTAGCATTCTCTAGATGCAAGCAAAAGAAAATGACTTTGCTTAAGCAAAGGAGACATTTCTTAGAAGACTAAGAGGGACCCAGGACTATACTTGAAGCAGGCAGCTAAAAACAGGAACTCTAAGGATACACAACACATTCAAGAAGTCTGTGGCCATTAAGATAAAATGCTATTCCAACCTTCCTTAGCTCTTTGCTCAAGATCTCACCCGCCGAACTA